CGCAATCCCCTTGCCCATCAGCATCCTGGCTGCTCCCGCAGCCCTGGCCACCTGCAGCTTCTCCAGCCCAGCAGCGGCTCCGCGGCAAGCAGAGGCCAAAATTGCCAATTCCACCTTTTCAGCCCCATTTCACCACCAGCGGCGCTGCCTTCGCCCGGCAGAAAGGGAGAAAATTCAACAACGCTTTTAACTCGTGACGCTAAAATCTACTGGAGCAATGGACCCCTGGGGCCACTGGTCTCCTCCGTCTCACATAGAAAAATAAGCCCAATTTGCTTTATATATATATATGAATATATAAATATCTATATATATATATAAATCGCAGAGGAAGCGCTGCGCGGGACTATAGCGTGGTCTCACTGCCCATGTCCCGAGGTGGTTTTTCGGTGTCGGTGTCCTCGTAGTCCGACTCCATCTCTATCTTCACCTGGGGCACGGCGCAGATGGGGTTTCGGGAGTAGTTAAATGCGGGAGACGACGGGCACGAAATCTTCAGGTGAAGCGTAATACTGAGGAGGAGGAGGAGACAGGGAAATGAGCAGCGGGGCAGGGGTACCCCCACCCCAAAACCACCCCAGCAAAGGGCTCTGGATGATGCAACCCCCAGTAAAAACTCATAAAAATAGATTTTTGCCTTTTAATACAGCCAATCTGCAGAATTCACAGCTACAGGTAGGGAAAAATCCCAAGCTTTTGGGGATTCAGAGGTACATCCCTATCCTAAAAACCCCCACGGCCGTTACCCAGTGGCATTTTTATCGCTATAAAACCTCCCGTGCCAGGCTTGGGGTGCATCGTCCCACACAGCCCCGCTCCCCACAACCCGACAGCTGGGGCTGGCCAACGAAAGTGCCCAAAATACAGAGGGATGCTGCAAAAATCACAGAATCACACAGAATCCCAGCATGGCAAGGGTTGGAAGGGCCCTCAGGAGCTCACCCAGTGCCACCCCCCTGCTCAAGCAGGCTCACCCAGAGCAGGGGGCACAGGACAGCGTCCAGGCTGGGGTTGAAGATCTCCAGAGAAGGAGACTCCACAGCCCCCCTGGGCAGCCTGGGCCAGGGCTCGGGC